CATCGCCCACTGCTGCTGCTGCCGGGAGCTGGCTGTTTGCAGCTGGGAACAGGTGGCGACAGCACAAGTTGCATTTTCGGCTGGAAGCAGCAACAGCAGCAGAGGTGAGGGCGAGATGAAGAGGGAAAACGGAGAAGATGTGTGTTGGATGGATGGATGGATTTATGGATGAGGTGGGGTGGGGGATGCTGGGTGTGGTGTGGTGCGGTGTGGCTGGTGACGGGGATGGCGGTGTGGTGGTGTGAGGAAGATGGATGGGTGGATGGATGGGGTGCCGCATGTCTTGTTCCTTCCCTTCTGTTTTCTGTTTCCTCTCTCTCTCTCTCTTCCCTTTCTTCTCCTTCACACACATTCATGCACAACATTAGCTGTGGCATCAGCAATGTAGCTGCGCACATATCCATGCTCCCTCTTTCCCTGCCACTCACTCACTCACCATGCTGGTGCTCGCACACAAACACACTTACAGGCGATGCACACTTACAGGCAGGATGAGGGAAATGTCGAGGATTCTTGCCACGCGTGCCAGCTGCACTCGCATCACACATGGTATGTGCGTGGTGATGGGTGGCTGGTTGGTTGTGTGATGAAGTGGGGTGGCGGTGCTGGGATGCGGTGAAGCGAACGAGGGAAGGGTTGATGGGGGATGATGATCACACACACTGACACACGCACACATACACGCACACACACGCACACGTGGTGCGTGTGACGTCAATCACTCTTTCTGCTGTGCTGACATGATGGCTTGCTCTGTGCCTGTTGTGTTCTGTTCCCATCCACGTTCCCTGCAACCACGCACACACACACACACATGCACAGGTGGTGAGGTACCAGCACACATTAGGATGTTGATGGAAGCGGGCTCGCATGCCGGCTGCTCCTGCTGCAACTTCCCCGATTCGGCTGCCGCTGTTGTGCTCATGCAGCGTTCCCACATGTGTGAGCAAGGTGAGCCCATCATGCATGCTTTGGTTGGCACATGGTGCATGTGTTGTTGTTGTTGCTGCTGTGTGTGCTTTGTGTTGTTGCTGTGGGTGCTCGTGCAGCAGCGTAGCTTTGCAGCTCACATACCATGTGTGTATGTGTGTGTGGCTGCAAGGGGGGCGACTGCCTGAGGATCGTTGGAGGATGATGATGGGTGGTGCACACATGATGGATCGGGAGGAGCAGCTGTGGACACACACGTCCATGGTCATGGTGGGCACATCCAACCACAGCGACGCAATCATGCGCAGGTGCGTGTGCAGGTGTGTGTGTGTGTGTGTGTGTGTGTGATGGGACGAGGAGGAGGAAAGCAGAGGAGGGTCAGGAAGGTGAACGCGTCTGCTGTGCTGACATGCCATACCTGTGCCTTGTGTGGGATGGTATCGTTGTGTCTTGTCGTTGTGTGTTGGTTGCATGCGCACCAGGGCCACATCAGAGGAGGGGAAAGCAGCCGCCATGAATGCCACATCCTCATCAACCTTCCCCATTTCTTTCTCCTTTCTCGCTCTTCCACCTCAGCTCCTCTGTCATCACCGCCATCGACCGCACAGCCGCCATCACACTCCGGCCGACACCAGCTCCAATCTGGCGTGAGGCAGACCTTGCACATGTCACTCGCTCTGATGAAGAGGTGAGCAATGTGTGTGTGTGTGTGTGTGTGTGTGTGTGTGTGTCAGTGCGTGGTTGGATGGGGCTGACATGTAGTTGATGATGCTTCGCTGTCAATCTCATCCCCCTGCATTCTCTCCCATCTTGTGTCTGTGCACACACGTTTGACAGCGTTGAGGAGGCGCATGAAGCGGTGGAACCAACAACGATGATGACGATGACGAGTGATGAAGGTGAGAGGGCGACTGAGATGTGTGTGCGTGTGTGTGCGTTGGTTGAAATGTTGTGTTTCCTCCTTCTCCTCCCACTTTCCTTGTCTGTTCTGTCCACTCATGTGTCTTTTCTTCTTCTTCCCCCTTTTTCGATTGATTTGGACACAGGGCCATGTATCTCGTCACCATCCAACCGACCAACCAAACAGCCGAGCGAGCGAGCAAAGGACACGGCGTGGCAAGGGGCCGTTTGTTTTCACCGTTTCCACCATCAGCAACAGCAGTACCTGATGTGGCTGCATTGTGGATGAACGGGCCCTCTGCCTCTGGGCCATCTCCTCCTCCTCGTCCTCGTCGTCGTTGGTCCCCAACAGCAGCGGCTGCGGCTATGGATGTGGAGGTGAGATGAATGGTGGTGGTTGTGGTGATGTGGGTGGCGTGTGATGTGTCGGGTGTGAGCATCAGCATGTATGTGTGTGATTGTGAAGCGCTGGTTGGATGTCGTTGGGTCTGTTGGTGCTGGCAATGGGTGTAGTTGTCGTTGATATCCTGATTCTGAGACAACTCACCTCTTTCTCCACACATACACGTACAGAGTGTGATGTGCGTCGATGTGCCGTTGCCTCACATGACGACGATGATGATGGTGGTGAGTGGTTTGTGGTGGATGTGGACAGCGCACGCACACGCATGTGCAAGTGTGATGCTTGTGCTGCATGTGGTGGTGGTGGTGTGTATCTGTGTGTGGGGATGTGACATGTGCGTGCACAGGTGGTGATGTGGTGATGTGAATGAGGCACAAGGAGGTGGATGTGGTTTGTTTCTGCCATGCTGGCTCACTGCGTCGTGTTCTTCTTGCTGATTTGTTGTTTGTGCTTGCGCATGTGTACATGTGTGTGTTTTGCACGGAACGGTGGCCGTTCTCTTCCCAAGCCCCCATGACACAAGCAGGGCGATACACGCACACACACAACTGTGCCAGAGAAGAAGGCACGAGGTGAGACGCTGCCGCTGTGTGTGTGTGTGTGTGTGTGGTGATGGGTGGTGGCACTTGCAAACACACACGCACACATGTACGCACGTACACGTGGATGCCAACACACCACAGCAGTCATTGGCTGTGGGGTGGTTGCACTGACGTGTGTCTCACATGAATCAATCTCACAACTCAATGTGCGTGTGTGCGTGTGTGTGTGTGTGTGCGGGTTTCCCCAACCGAATCCCCTTCTTCTTTTTCCAACCAATCGCCTTTGCTCTGTCATCATCATCATCATCAGCCTTTCCCTTGTGATGTGGATCTGTTGAGGCGTGACAGGTATTGCAGCAGTGGTGGATGTGGTGCATGTGGTGATATTTTGTGCCTGCCTGCTGGCTCGCTTGGTTGCTTGCTTGTTGGGTGCTTGCTTCGTTGGTCTTGTGTGTAGGTGATGCACCCGCCCACAACATGCTGCATATTTCCATGCGTGGTCCCTTGTGGCCCTCCTTTCCTGTCCTCATCATCACCGGTCATTGTTGTTCGTCTCTGGTCGGTTTCTCCTTGCCTCACAGGCAGGCACGCAGGGCAGGCTGGCTCGCTGCTGCTGGTGGCTGCTGTGATGATGGCCGGGCGTGTGCGTGTGCGCTGTGCACCGTGTTTGGGGCTGCACCGATGAAGACAAGGAAAGACACGGCCCGTGCCCGCCACCCTTCCCCCTTCATCTCCTCTTTCTGCTCCATCAGCGATGATGATGGTGGCCGTGGCATGTGACTGCGGTTCCATTTTGTTTGGCTTCGCTGTGGCACGTTGGCTGGCTGGCTGGCTGCATCAAGCACAGGTGAGGATGATCGTTGGCGGTTGGTGGGTGGCTGGGTTGAGTCGAGTGGGGCAAGCAGGGGGAGGAGGGAAATGGCACCGTGATGGTGGCGGTGGTGATGGTGATGGTGCGACGTGGGAGTGCAGAGCGAAAGGAGGGAGGGGGAAGGGAAGTGATGGAAGGGCGATGATGTTGGTTGGGGGATGGGGAGTGCGTGTGCACATGCACGTGATGTCCTTGGTGGTATCACATGACAATGACACATATATCAGTGGCTCATTCCTTTTGCTTGCACCTGTGATTGTGTGATTGTGGTGATGACTGCAGCAGGCAACACACGGCGGTGATGCTGGATTGGATTGGCTGGGGTTGACTGGCCAATCATGTCATGTCGCCCATTTCTCTCTCTTCGTTGCTCGTCTCAACACACAGCGATGTGTGCGTGTGCGTGTGTGCGTCGCCATCAACCACGCCGACAGCGACACGATGCACGAGGTGAGGGCACGCAATGGTGTGCGTGTGTTTGGTGGAAGGGGGTTGAGGGGAAGTGGGAGGAAGGCGTTCATCATGGCCATCATCACCACCATGGCTGTGCACCGTGTCATGTGACCGTGCATTTGGGGGATGGAGATGAGGGGAGAGATGTTGTCGTTGTAATGCTTGTGGTGGTTGTGTTTTGCATTGTTATGTATGCGTGTGCATGGTGCACCGTCTCACTCTGCAATGCCATGTCTGACTGTGTGTGTGTGTGTGACTGCAGATGTGCGTGTGCGCATATGTCGGGCAGATGCGTTGATCGACGACGAGGTGTGTGTGATTGCGTGTGTGGTTGACCTTCGTGTCCTTGTGTCATCACAACAACACGCAACACCAAGCACATCATCATCACCCCCACGCCGCATGTGTTGTGGTTGTTGTTCACTCATGCATGACATGCTCACATCCACCCCCTCCCCTTGCTTCTTCTCCTTCCTCCTCCTTTCTGCTGCTGCCACCCTTTCCACTGTTTCCCACCACCCCCTTTTCACACCCACAGAGTGAGAAACCCGTCCACATCCAACACCCATGCCCACACCCACACCCACATCCAGGCATGACAAGCCATGGCGAGCTGTGCCACCTCAACCAACACAACTCAACCCAGGCCGAGGAAAGGAAGAGGGGAAGCAAGGACAGAAGACGTGGGGGCTCCCAATAGATGTGTGTGTGTGTTGATGGACGGTGTTCTCCTTCCCCCCCTCTCCATCGCCTCGCCTCTTGCTTCCATGGCAATCTGGCTGGGTGGCTGTTGCCCCTCCCCATTGTTTGTTTTCTCTTCCAGCCCTTTGTGGCTGTTGGTTGTCTGTTGTGACTGTGAGGAGGAGAGAGAGGAGAGGGGGTGCATGCTGTCCACAGCTGTGTGTGTGTGTGTGCGTGTGTGTTTGGCTGTTTCTTCTTTTCCGATCCCCCCTTTCTTGTCCCCTTCTCCCTTCCCTCCTCAGCCTGCAAGGCCTGTGAGCCTGCGTTGCATTCAGACACAGTGCTGTTCCCCCTCCTTCCCCCTCCCTCTTCTTGTCTCATAGAAACCAACCAACCAACCAACCAACCAAGCAAGTCCGCCCTTCAACAAGCAAAAAGCAAACAGCAGTTGCTGCACAAACGCAGCAGTGGGCGATTATTTGTGGCATCTTCCACCAATCGCCCAAACACGAACCAACAAGACCAAGCAACAAGCAGCAGGCGAAACGAGAATCAAGGTGCGTGTGCGTGTGTGTGTTTGAGCGGATGGTGGCTTGCGTTGTTCGTGTGCGTGGCTGGCGCAGGGTTGGTGGAGGAGGGAGAGGGTACGCGTTGTGACGGGCACTCACCGGCGGTTCTGTTGTGGGTGGTCTCGTTTGGTTCCATGGACTGTGTGGGGTGTGGTGGGTGATGGTGTGATGGTGCACAGGTGCAAGCAGAGAACACGCACAGCAGCGCCCACAGCATGGATGTGTGCAGGGCCAAAGGCATGCAAGGCGTTGCCCACGGTTGGTGAGGCTGACATATGTGCTGCACAGGCCCATGGCACGCTGGCACCGTGAGTTTGGGTGAGTTCTGTCAGTTAGTTTGACCGCTGTGCGGGTGTTTGTGTGTGATTGTGTGTTTGTTGATGGAGAGGTGGACGTGGCTGTGGTGGGTGTTGTGATCTCACACGCACTCCTGCTGCTGTGGATGCATTTGGCTCACGCACACACAGAGAGGGATGATGCCCTACATCGACCCACACACATGTGTGTGAACACACACGCACACATGGTGACAGGCAGTCTGATGCCTACCTCACGGTGCGTTGCACTTGCATGTGTGTGACTGCGATTGTGTGCATGTCGTTCATGCTGTGTCTGCTTGTGATTCACACTGTGTATGTGTGTGATGGCTGCTTGCTTCCCTCTGTCTCACACATGTGTGTATGGATGGTGACACACACACACACACACAGACAATGAGTGGGTGTGCAGACGCACATCCCCACACAGCCAAGGCAGGCAGGCAAGGCATGCCCTTCCTTCTCTCCCTCTCCGCTCCTCTCTCTCCCTCTGCTGCCATCACCACTGCTGCATGGATGGACCAGTGGATGCAAGGGGTGTTGGATGATGCTGGCTGGCTGATGTCCTTCCCTTGGTGCGTGTGTGTGTGTGTGTGTTGCGCTGCTTATGCTCTTGTTTCCCCCCTGTTTGTGTCTGTTGTGTCTGTTGTGCGTTGCTGCTTCGCTGTGTGTGTGTGTGTGTGTGTGTGTGTGTGTGCGTGTTCACCACAACCACGTCGTGTGCGCCCATCACCATCGTCTGTGCTCACGCACATCCCATCTCTCCCTTTCTTCTTCTTCTGCTCCATTCCCTCTTCCCTCTTTCTTTGTCATCCCCTCACGCACACACACACACACACACATGGACGCTTGTGCAGGAGAAGTGCAGGCTGTGTGTTGGAACCCATGGCATGGCACGCACAACCAAACAAGGGCACAGGCAAGCAAGGACACAGGACAAGCAAGCAAGACGTGGGGCTGCCATAGACCACGCACCTCGTTGGAGAAGGAGGGGCGTGAGCGGGTGGTGTTGTGTTGATTGTGCCGTGTTGTGTTGTGTGTGTTGTTGTTGACAGCGTGCACGTCTCTCTCCTTGTATCCTTCTGCCTTCCTCCCTCCCTTTCCCTTTCTCTCTCTGTTCTCTCTTGCCACGGCACGCACACTGCTGCTGCTGTTGCTGTTGTTGGTTGAAGGTGATGATGGCGGCTGATGGGGGAGTGAAGCGGTGTGGCGCAGCATGGAGCTGTCGCTTGTTGTGTGTTGCTTGCAGTTGATATGGGGATGCTTTCTTCTTGCCACCTGTGCGTGTGTGTGTGTGTGTTTGCTGTCGTGTTGCTGAAGTGTAATGAAAGTATACAATGCAACACGCATGTGCAGCTGTGTGTAACGTGTGTTGGTACTGGTGGATGGGTGCTGATGGTTGCAGTGTGTGTGCGTGTGATGTGAATTGGGTTGGTGGTGAGCTGGGCGTGGCTGTGGAGTGGGTGTTGCATGCAGGTGAGGACAGCAGCAGCTGCTGCGAACGAGGGAGTAGGGGGAAAGGATGAAGCGAGTGATGATGGCAGCGACTGGTGGTGGATGTGAACAGGGCTGATGGTGAAGAAGGCAGTGTGGGCTTGATGGGTTTATGATGTGTTGTAACACATGCAGCATGAAACATGAACGAGGCAGGGAAGGGAAGGGAAGGGGAGGCAGGCTCAAGGGAAGGAGTGGCGACACAAAGTAGTGAACAAGGCCAAGGGAAGGCATGCAAGCGCATGGAAACAACAACAGCAGTGGCAAGAATTGAAACAAGACAGAAAGGGTGGTGGAACGCAGGTGAAATGGACAAACAAGGCTTGTGGTGACAAGGTGG